AGGCACCAGCAGGGCTGGTGGGGTGGCTTTTAATTTTAATAACAGATTTTTGTCAGAGAATTTGTGATTTATCAGAGAAAACCAGGATCCCTGCTGATCATGATCACACCTTGTAATATCATTAATGCTCATGTAGGTAAGCAGCATGGGGTGGTGGTTAGAAAGCCAAATGAACTTTGGAAGTTTTCCTGTAATGTACTACTTGCATGGAGTTTGAAATACTGACACCTCCCAGGAGAACAGGTCAGGTTAGAAGATGGATTTCTCCGTCCTCCGTGGAAGGGAATGGCCTTTCTTTGGCAGCGGTGGGGGTACCCATGTTGTTCTCAACCTGAGGGACAACCAACTCCACTTTCGTGGCTGTGGAAGTCTGCTCCTTTTCTCTATATCCCAAGAGAAGCCCTGGTTCTTGAACTTGACCATTACATACATACATACTTTTGGCAGGTGCTAAGCCTGAGATTTCAAGATAAGGAGCTTCTCAGGCAGATGCTTGTTAAAACATAGCCACCTGTAGGTTCTTCTCCTCCCAAACAAATAGTAACCGTCACATAGACAGCTTACTCTTCCCTTCTAACCCACTTTATTTTTTTTATTTTGGAGTGAAGAAATTTAGATGAGTTAGGGCTGCCTGTCCCAGTTACAATGAAACAAAATTCTAGCAAGGATATCTGTTTTTAAGAACACACCAATCCTAGACTTTGCAGTAAATTGAAGATTAGGTTAGGTAGCAGCCTGAAATGCATAGGAAAACATGTAAACCCCTCTCTTAAAGCTGATGGTAAAAAGTGTTATATAGTCAGTGGATTCCATTCCAAACAACTGAAATGATTAAGAGATTTTAATTCTGAATTAAGATTTTTTTTTTTTTCCGGATAAACCAAAAGACAGGAAAGTTGCATGATACAAGTGGGCTCTGCTTTTACTAATCTAATTTTTAAAAGAGCCTTTTACTAGCTTGAAATACAAACAAATTCATGATATTTAACATGCCAAAGAACTCAGCATTTGTGTTGCTGGAATCATAGGGTCTTGTCACAGAAAACCAAGGGACTTGCATGTTGTAAACTTCGATGCGTCTACTTTGCTATCAGTCCATTGATTAGCTTGGTTAACAACTGTAGAAATACAGCCTCTTATTTGTAACTAAGGCATACCATTTTTAATTAAACAAACAATAGTATGACTTTTTTAGATCTCCTTACGTATCTCACATTGCTTTTGTCCAGCAACCATGGTTGGCTAGTAGGGGTGTGCAAAGCTTTGGTCGCCAATTTAATTGAGAAGATTTGGCCCGATTCGGAGGCTGAATCACTAAATCCAAATCAAAATCGGGAGACCTAAGAAAACCTCCAAATCAATTTGGAAAAAAATTTGGAGATTTGGAAGGCAGTCGTTCAGGGGAACAAACTGAGAAGAGGAAGGGGGAGCAGGGGGGGAAAGACTGACATCTGTAGCTGGCCAGTAACTGTGATCTTTCCCTGAGTCCCCTTCCAACCACAGTGCTCTGGGGGAGGGACATAGAAACAGCACATAAACCTGTGTCTGCAGCCTTTCTGTCCCTTTTGTGAGCTGTTTCTGCCTCAGCACCAGGAAGGCCTCCTGTTACAAGCTACCATGCCTGTTGGTTTCAGCCCACTGTGCCTTAATACACGCACAGTTACACATCACAAATTTTGTTTGTCAGCACCTTGAGGTACAGTTCCCCAGAAACCCCTGCACCTATCCCCTAGAAACCTGGCAGGTTTCATGGCCTCAGCAGGGCTATCATGCCTGCTTTTTTCATCCAAATCTGCCAAAAAGTGACAAAGTTACAGGTATGTCATTGATTCCCCGTTATAGTCTATGGCTGAATATCTGAATCTCTCTGAATTAGTGCCGAATCTTCTGAAGCAGATTCAGCCAAATCGATTCGGGACAGTGATCCAAATCTCCGAATCAAATTGCTGTCCCCCACATCGTCCGAATCTGAATCAAATGCTTCCCTATTTGCACAGGCCTATTGGTTAATGATTTCCCTCCTCTTGGGCAACTGATTGCCCCATCCAAAAAACAATTATGATGGTCCAGCATATAGAAATTAAAGTTCATTAACAGTCTTGGTTTTCAAAGAACATAGTTATATGTCCAGTTTTCAAGGTGAGATTTTTTTATTTTCTCTCAAGATGTAGAAAAAGGCAGTGTAAAGATGAGACAGAACAAAGACTCTTTATCCATTATGATTTATTCTCTACAATACTTCATTAGAGGATAGAGTTCAATGATTTACACTCAGAAGTTATATAGGTAGGAGGCAACCAAGTGTAATACAAAGAATTGGTCTGACATCTCTGCACTGAAGGTCAAAAGAGGTCTCTTGCTTTAAGGAAATAAAATTAAGTTAACCAAAAAAATGAACATGTAGGTTCCAGAACACAAACAGAAACAGCACTAATAGTCAGTGAAGACTGCAGAGTTAATGCATTATGAAAAACAAATCCTGTGCAAAAGTTAAAATGAACTTTCAGGATTCTCTACAGATTTTTGTTCTTATAAATTGTAGATATGTGATATTTTGACCATAAAACCTTTCAGACTGAAATGGCCTCTTTTGAGATTGGCTGTTTAACATTATGAAGAGGAAAAGTTTAAGAACCTCACAGTGAAAACATTCCAACACTGACAGACTCCAGTGATCAAAGACATTCTCCTGTAGTTACTGTAAAACAAAGACAATTCAAAATTGCAGTGAGAACTTCCCAGTTATGGTTTTCATGAGAACAAACCCTTCTAGATCAAAAGGCACTTGCTGTTAAGGATGAGCCAACTCCAAACCAAACCAACTCACTATTGCTTGGACTTTAAGCAAGCAATTTTCACCTGCTATCCAGCCAAGTGATGCAGCAACTCAAGGGGACATGGCAGACAAATTCTTTAATCCTGTTGGTCACTTATTTTGGTTGTCTCCCTCTTGTCAGACAACTAAAAGACAGTATGTTTCATTACAGACTCATCTTATCTCTGTGCATAACTGCCACATAATGATCCAGAAATGGGATTATTTCCTGAGAACCACTTGTCCCTGCCATACATTTTTCAGAGTTGACGTAACTACTGGCACTTTTCAACTGACTTATAATCAGACCCCTCTGGGACTGAAGTTGAGGATGTCTGCTTCTCAGAGAGCAGACCAGCATTCCCTGTTCTGCTTGCTTTTCCACTCACTGCAACAAGACAAGAACATGGTCCATCTTCAGAGACATTTTTAGAGGCTGGGTTGGGGATGGAACTGGGAGGGGTAAAACTCCCCCAATCCAAAACAATTCAACCCACTTCAGTCTAATGCTAGGCTTAAAACCAACCAGGTCACTCGATCCTAAAATTCTGTTCTTTAAAATGACAGCTACCCCTCCCCCACCCCCCTACTCTTCCCCCTATTAAAACAAAATAAAATAAAGGAAACACTGTACACTGTTGGAGACACAGAACAGGGCAAACATTTGAAAAAAGAAACAACAGAGTTGAATAGCCTGGCACTATATGCCTGCATGACCAGTCTCACTGAGCGTGCTCAGGGGTGAAGTTTTAGCACCAATTTTTTTGCTTTTTTTAAATCTTTTAGAAATAAAATTCTAACATAGAACACTTGAACAGTAATGAGTGTAGCCCTATGTATAATCCTGTTTGACAGCTGAAAAGTGAATGGTATGTCCAGAGCTGACCCCACCCCTCCCCATCAGTCCACGGCACCTGGGAGAGTAATTACAAATCACTCTAGTTTGTAACAAGACTGATTTATTCTCAGCAGCAGGAAATCATGGAACAATCCCTTCATCTTCAAATGTGTTTCAACAACATCACAAGGGAAAAGTGGCAATTCAGAAGAACAACCCAGTACAGAAACACAGCTGGGTCAATATTGCACAGTTATCCAGAACAGGACCCCCTCCTTTCCCTCACATCTACGTCCCCCAAGAACAACAGAATGCAACACTGACGACGAGCAAAACTGCAGGGTTTTGTTCACTTCTTTGTGGGTTAGAAGGAACAGCATGCACAGTTCTGAGGTTTCCTACACACCCACCTGCCATGCCAGGAGAGGACTTGTATGAATGTCTGGCTTGGAATATCCACCAGTTTTAAAAGCTATTACTACATACAGGCAATCAACTATCCATTAGTCTGCTATGCACTTAATAGGTATTTTCTTTGACCATCATTACTGATTATCCAGGTATTTGCCAGAATTCTACATCATGATTATGCAGTTCCTTCAAATTCACTTTTAGGGATGCCTTCATTTAATGTTCATGACACTTCTATGACTTTTGTAAAGGGAATGGGAGAACTGCATAAGAAGCATCTTCCACTTAGTGGCAAATATCTTCTAATCATCAGTAATGAGAGAGGAAATACAAAGTGTGCCTGCATTGAATAGTTTGGGGGTAAAACCAATTTATTCTCTTTTAAATTTGCCTTGGTGTGGCAATGACTAAACTGTATTAGACACCGACTTAGAAGCTAAACTATATAGCTTTATTTGGTAGACCTGCTAAGAATTGGAATATTGACAACTCAAATATTAGATTCATACAGTCACACTGCAGAAAATGGCAGTCCTGTTGAAAAGAAGGTCCCTACAACCCTTTGTTTGAATTAAATTCCAGATACTAGATGTACTTGTATGACTATGGGCATTGCCCTCCAAGGGCCCCACATTCCATCCAATGTAGGCTCCGCTACATATGTTTAAGACAGGAAACTAACTGAAACAGGATTTCTCAGGGAAACCCATGTACCTCACCATTCTCACACGCACTGTGTCACTTTTTGCCTTCTTGCAGGCATTACCATTCTATTCTGTAGCAGGCTACATCACAACACGCTGTCTAAACCCAGCACACAACATGAACCAGAAGAGTACTGAAGAATCCAATCAACAGCAGGGTTTGAGAATTAAATTTTAAGATCTGTTTAAATAATGGTTTCATTTGCAATATCATCCCAAGGATCTTCACATCTTTGAGTGGTCTCTGTCCAGAAGGGGTGCTATCCAGACGTCCTCCCTTTAACATGATGTCCGCCTGTGATGTGTGGGGACCGTAATCAGCTCTTGGTACACAACAGATACCAGAGGTTAAAAAAAATTTAAAATAACCTAAGAAATGTTTTGTTGGACTCCGTTGCCCAGACTGCCAGGGGAATATTCCTCCTCAATCTGGGGTACTTTCGTCATTAACAATTTAAGATTCCAGAGTGTAGGTAATGCACAAGGGCAGAGCAGTCTGAAGTGGCACTTTTGCTCCCAGAGGTCTTCTACACCTCGTTGCAATTCCTAGTCGTGGAGCCCCAATCCAACTGAACCCCCATTTTGAGGGAAGGCTGAGATAAGGCTTGGGCCCCTGAAGTTCTATCACGCTCGTATCATCCCCCCCAGGTCAGCTGGAAGGCAGACTTGGCAACGGAAGCTAGCATCATAAAATGGTGCAGTAATAGAAGTAACTGGACCAGGAAGAGGAGGCATCTGCCCCAATGATGTCATAGCCATTGGCAGCAACTGGGGGGCGGGACTGGTCATGCAGCCGTGTGTCAGGAGTAATGATTGTAGAGGGGCGGGGCATGAAGAGTACCATTCTGGAAACAATGCTGACGGGAAGCCATGTATTCTGCATAACTGATTGTCACCTTCTCACTACGGTACCTGGGACAAAACAGGAAAGGACAACATCAACAGCAGTACACAACAGGAAGTAACCGGGCATAGTTTTCATCGACAAAAGTACCGATCAAATGTAAACCTATTTCCTTAATTTATAAATTGTCATAAGGTAATGAAATACGTCATGGGAGAATGGAGCCCCTCTTACTTAGATAATTCATCTAAAAGAATGAGGTTCAAAGAAAAAGCTGAAGTACCTCTGTGTATACCCAGCTACTTACCCTATAAGCAGGGCTTAACCCTTTTCAGTCTTGGGTGCCTAAAGTGAGGCAAAAAGAAATGTGAAAATCCAGAACTCTTGGTTCCTAAATGATACCTTTTCTTAGACCAACTGAGAAATTGCAAAAAAAATCTTTTTCTGCAAGCTTTTGGGCTCATGTGCCCTTCATCAGGCTCGGGGACTTTTTACTATCTTGAACTTTCCCCATATGTAGGAAATAAACTATTAATACATTATAGTTTATTTCCTACATATGGGGACTTTTTACTATCTTGAACTTTCCCTGAGCCTGATGAAGGGCACATGAGCCCAAAAGCTTGCAGAAAAAGATTTTTTTTGCAATTTCTCAGTTGGTCTAAGAAAAGGTATAATTTGGGAACCAAGAGTTCTAGATTTTTGCATCTCTTTTTGGCTCAGACCAACATGACTACCACATACATCACAAAAGTGAGGCAAGAAGTGCTGAAATTCAGACTTCAGTGAGTTATGGATACCCTCCTGAAGGTCAGGTCACTTTGATACAAGTGCCTTAGGATAGGTTTAGGTACTTAAGCTCACTGATTCTGGTCCATTTTCTACTTCAGAGACAATGCAGGGATCAGTGCTAGCTTTCCATCAAAGGCTATAGAGGGAGCTTTGCTACCTGCAAACCTCATCCCAAAATACCTTCTAGACACTTTACCTTTCCACACATTCATTAGTTACATTTTTGTTGTTGTGTTTCTCAATATTAAAGCTTGAATTAAGACAATTGTAGGCAAGTGATTCAGGAAGTGGTAGTCTAGGAGACTGGCAACAAGCTGCCAGTTTGCACGTGTTAAGCCTGCCTGCTCTGTATTAAAGTACGAGAGGTTTGCAAGGAGTCAAACTTTTAGTAAAATCCTAGCATGTATATTTAAGTATTATTTACTATTTGGATGGTCATCCTGAATCTAATTTAATATTTGAAAGACTTATGAAAATGATTAAATCAAGATTCAGGGTAAAGAAAGGCTTATAAGTCTACTCCATGTTGTTTATCAAAAGCCACAAAAATTTGAGTACCCATTTTGGGAAACAGACAAGGCTTTGCTTCCAAGTATGGCATTTTACATAAATACAACAGCCCATATGGTTGACAACAGCTGTGAAGCAACTGACCTAATAAAGGATGTTTTTCCAAAGAGAAAAAAAGCTAAATGGCCCAACTATTACTGAAAACGTTTATGTTTACATTCTATCAGACAAAGGGAACAAAACCAACATGACAGCATGCATAAGTGAACAAGTTCTGAACACCAGCTAGTTATGAGGCCGGCTTGATTTTAAGAGGACTATAACTGCATCATAGATATGCTATCCATCTCAGCAATGCACTGACTAGGAGGGAGCCGATGAGGAAAAGCAGGACGATCTATATGAGGCTAGCCTACAGGTTACTACTTTTGATCCTTCACCTTCTTTACCTGTCAGATTTAAAAGGCAGTAAAATTTCATTGGGAATTTGTTCACCTGAAAGAGCACAGCACTACAGTTCCTACATACATTGAATACACTCCACTGTGCTGCAACACTTGTTCTCTGTCTCGTACATAACACTAGTGGACTAGACACAATGGTGAAGGTGGCCCCTTCCAGTCCTACGTCTGTGTCCACCCTGGTCCCACAAGGTTCGGTCCTTGGACCGATACTCTTTAATGTCTTCATCAGTGACTTGGACGAGGGAGTGAAATGTACTCTGTCCAAGTTTGCAGATGACACAAAGCTACGGGGAGATGTGGACACGCCGGAGGGCAGGGAACAGCTGCAAGCAGATCTGGACAGGTTGAACAAGTGGGCAGAAAACAACAGAATGCAGTTCAACAAGGAGAAATGCAAAGTGCTGCACCTAGGGAGGAAAAATGTCCAGCACACCTACAGCCTAGGGAATGACCTGCTGGGTGGCACGGAAGTGGAAAGGGATCTTGGAGTCCTAGTGGACTCCAAGATGAACATGAGTTGGCAGTGTGACGAAGCCATCAAAAAAGCCAATGGCGCTTTATCGTGCATCAGCAGATGCATGACGAATAGGTCCAAGGAGGTGATACTTCCCCTCTATCGGGCGCTGGTCAGACCGCAGTTGGAGTACTGCGTGCAATTCTGGGCGCCGCACTTCAAGAGGGATGCAGATAACCTGGAGAGGGTCCAGAAAAGGGCCACTCGTATGGTTAAGGGCCTACAGACCAAGCCTTACGAGGAGAGACTAGAGAAACTGGACCTCTTCAGCCTCCGCAAGAGAAGGTTGAGAGGCGACCTTGTGGCTGCCTATAAGTTCATCACGGGGGCACAGAAGGGAATTGGTGAGTATTTATTCTCCAAGGCGCCCCCGGGGGTTACAAGAAATAATGGCCACAAGCTAGCAGAGAGCAGATTTAGATTGGACATTAGGAAGAACTTCTTCACAGTTAGAGTGGCCAGGGTCTGGAACGGGCTCCCAAGGGAGGTGGTGCTCTCCCCTACCCTGGGGGTCTTCAAGAGGAGGTTAGATGAGTATCTAGCTGGGGTCATCTAGACCCAGCACTCTTTACTGCTTATGCACGGGGGCGGACTCGATGATCTTTTGAGGTCCCTTCCGACCCTAACATCTATGAATCTATGAACCTTAAAGCCATACCTTGCATTTGAGCAGAGCAGAACAATCCCTATGCCCGAGTTAAATGGAGGAGATATTCGTTGCTTTTGAAACCAGGAAGATATTCTATGATGAGATTAAAAACACAAAGACATCAGTTTACCTGGTGAGTTTAATTGTTTTCCTAAAGTCATTGGTAATCGGAGCCTTAAATCCACCTTTCCTGAGTAAGGAGTCTATGGTCTGGATCTGATCCCAGTCTGTTGAAAAGAAATAGAAAGAGGGATTTTTCAACATACAGGAACATTAAAAAAAACAAAGACAGACACACAACTAGGTCTACAGAAAATCAGAAAGACCAGTGTTGATAAAAGACTGACTATATCTACAGCAAATTCAAATACTCTTGAGTTTTCTATGTACACACTGGCTGAGCAAACACACATGGTTTCACATGTGTATACTCAAACCTTTCTGAAGTCCTAGGTGAACAGCGACCCTTCTAAAAGAGTAGCTCATTGTTTCATTTAAACTTCTCTACTAAGAAGGTGGTCACCTGCCACACTGCATGGACCTGATCTATTTCCCTTTGTACTGCTCAAGTTTATTTATCTAAAACTTAAGCTATTACTTAGCTTGTTATATAGACCGATTTGGACCAGCCCGACGGTCTAGTGACAGGATTGCGCACTGCTATGCAAGAGATGACAGTTAAAATTCCTACCTTGGTCTTTTGCCCCAGGGCCAACAGGATGCAACAATTCCATTCTGCTATGTGGAGGAAAGGAGGCAATATTTTGGGTGACCACTACTATATTTGGGTGGGAAGTATACTCCAAAGGGGCCCTGTTTCCTGCCCTCATCTGGAGGATGTTACTTTAGCAAGAATGAGAAGGAAAGGGACTCTTGTTGGAATGCTGGTGTTGTGCATACAGCCTGCAGTTCTCCTAATTAATGGGAGAAAAAAAAGGAAAGACGCAATGCTGAAGGAGGCTGGATGGTCCATACTTTGAGAGCCTGTGCTGCTTAAGCTCTCGATCCTTTTTACCTAAATGTAGTCAACTGTGTGCACACCTGGGACAGGTGGAAGGGCCAGACAGAAACCAGACAGCAGCTGTGTAATGTCAGTTAGCTAGTTTCATCTGGTGTCTGTGGCTTTAGCGGAAAGGCTCTGTACAAGGAATACAATCCAAGCCCACAATCCATAGCCTTAAATAATCCTATTTTGTGACAAGATGACATAACACATTTGGCAGCCATCCCAAACCCACCTTGTTCCTTAGCAACCTCAGGTAAGTACGTGGCTGTGCGTTTGACACCTTTCTCATTGATAAACTCTATTCTGATCCCATGGATCCCAACCTACAAATGGAAATAAAGAGCCAAGTAAGAGGTGTTTGCTAAGACTAAATCCAGGACTGATTTAGCATTACCAAAACAGTCTGCCATCATCTCCTGGGCCAGCCTGGCTATTTGCTGCTGTTTCTCATCCCCAGGCCAACCTAACCAGAGCTTCCCCACACTAGGGAAAGGGAATACTTTGCCCTCTTTCCCAGATCTGCCCAAGCAGTTCTTCTGCCTTCTTTCCTGAACCAACAAGCTTAGGAGATTTCCATATTTTCTCATGGATCAGCCAGGGCAAGAATTCCTGCAAAGGAATAATCTCACCCAACCACAAACCTACATGCAGCCCCTCTTCTTTATGACTCCTTATAAAGAATGCATTTCCACATACCGCCTCCTCTGCATTCTGGCATTGACTGGCTCCTTAGAACTTACCTATATGCCCATCTACCCCCAATTCTCTTCTATGCTTCCAAATTGTCTTTAAGGTCCAGATCAAGAAAGGTGTTCATGTGTCAAATTCCTATTGGCCCTAAAATCCCATAAAACAAATATCTTAATTTTCCTTGATCCCAATCAGACCCTTTCCCAAGACTGGCCTTTTAGTCCATCGCTTAACTGGCTTCTTTTCAGTCTCCTCTAACTTCTCCTCCACCACCCCCACCTCAATTTGTCTAATCCAAGCTATGCCATCCATACGCCCTTGGAATGAAGGAGACACATTACCATGTACTAACCCGAACCCAAATGGAACGAGAGAGTGATGCAGAGTTCCAAATGCACCTGTTCTCACCTCCCAGTCCAAGTAGTCACTGGCATCCTCAAAGTTAGTGAGGAGGGAGACAGAGCAGAAAAGTTTAGGCAGCTCCTCGCGGGTCAGGGGGGGAAATCGGCTGTCCTTAAGTGCACTAGAGAGGGATGCAAAAAACACCGACTAAAACCAAATGCTGGATCAATCTTGAGATGTCACACGCAGAATCATTACACGTCTCCCCTGAGACTACGGGAAACATCAATTCTCTATTTGGAAGCAGCAGAAGACATCAGACATAACATGCAAGAGACCTCAATGTAGTTTATGAGATTATGCAACAGATCCAAACCACTTCCTCTGACGCTGCAAAGAAATACCTGCCATAAGATAACTGCTTTAGAAAAACTGAATTAAGCTTTGAAATGCTTTTCCCATACTGTGTGGACCTTCAGGAGGCAAATAAGATTAAAATTAACTTTTCTAAAATTCTTTAGAGGTAAAGTAAAATCTGGATATCATACATAAAATGCAGGCGTTGCTGAGATGCTCTGTAAGGTCCCTGGCAAATCATTTTTTTTCTCAAATATGCAGTTCTCAACACTTCTTTTTATGCTGAAATGCATAAAATTACATTGGATTCAAGTATGACAAAATCTCTGCCATGCCTTAAATCCTCTTTAAAACAGAGGCTAATCTCAGATTTGTTTTTGTTTCATTTTCATCAGCTTTACCTGGTTAATGTGTATTCCCTGAGTCCTGAGTGAAGATTCATGGCTGAGAAGGTTCCGATGCAGCCACGAAGCCGCTTATCTCGCCCTGTCTTCCACGTCACAAAGAGTGGACTGAAAAGATAAGAGAGAAAGATATTCCAGTATCTAATACGAATCCTAATCTAAGGGAAGATGACTAAAGTGTGGAAGCACAAGTGGAAGCTCATGCTAATATGCTTTGATGCGTCTTTCATCATCTAGCCAGTCCAAAAAAGAACAAAGCCCACCCCATGCACCTTTGCTGGCATTTTTCTCTCCCTCTTCCACTCTGTATCCTGGCATGTAACCATTGTCCCGCAGAGCCTCAGAACTCATTCTCCTATGGGCAGCACAGTTGTTTAAATCCACACACCATGTCCCAGTACATGAGTCCATTCTTTGTACCACCCACTAGTTTATGTACAAGCATGCAATGAAATTAATCAAAGATGAAGCAAGTAAAGTTTTATTTTTTATAGTACTTTTGAAAGTGAAGGATCCCAAAACACTTTACAAACTATGCACAATTCAGGGTTGCGATAAAAGCTTTTCTCCAGGGAAAACAGAAATCTTCTTTCTGGACTATGTCCAGAAGAATCTGGTGTCTGGGTCCATTTCCAGGGCCAGGACAGGTTTTTTTCCCCCCCCATTATTCCTTTTGTGCTTCTTATGTTTAACAGCCTTTCCTACTGAACTGGTATTCATGTCGCTATATTTTGTTTCTGCTCATTCATCCCACCATCTTAGAGAACTATATCATGTTCTTCCACCCCTCCTCACATAATGCATTCAAACAGAACTTGTAGTTTTGAGGTACTTGAAATAAGAGCCTTCTATTTCTACCTGTGTATGAAGATTGGCATTTTAGAAAGGTTAGGAAGAAAACAAGATCTTCAAGTGTTGGGGGCTTGTTTTATGCCTATACTGAAGAAAGGAAGGGGTCCCATTGGTGACAGAAGAAAAGATTAGAGAGAAGAATGTGACCAATGAGTGGAATAGTCTCATTAGCTGATGGAAAGGAGATGATTTACAAACAGGTTAGGGGCAAAGGAAGGTTTTGAACTGCTAGAGATTTTAGTGAATCTTCCAGCCTCTGAAAAGTTTTGCAGGACATCTGATACAAAAAACTGAGAAGTTGATTTTTTTCCCCCCTCAGATTTTACACTAGTGAATTTAAGAGCTAGTTAATTTCTAATTATTGAGTAAATAAGAATATTACAATATTACAAAACAGGCAATTAAGTGTCTGAAATGAACGGACTGAAATAAGAAAAAGCATTTGTTTAAAACAAAAAAAATAGTGTTGAGAGCTGGAACTGAAAAAGAAAGGATTCATTCCCCCCTCAAAGAATTCAGCAAACTGGTTTGTTCAAATTTTTCCAGATCAAGGTGACATTGAATAGAACTCTGTCTATTGAAGTAAAGAAGCAGGGCCACAAGGAGTTTTACCATCCTGCAACCCTATGCTTTCACTATCTCAGCCATCACTAAAACTACCATAATATTTTGCTTGGGCAACAAAAATAAAATGAAGGGTTGAACAATTTTTGCATACAACCTTCTGACATGACTATTTAGAACACTACAGTCCTGTGATAAAGGGATACCTATTATCCCATAGCGACAATGAAGTTGTTATATTCATATAATCACAGAAAAGTTGGGCTGGAAGGTTGGGCTGTGTGGCCTCAGGAGATCACACAGTCCAACCCCCTACTTGAAGCAGGATCATCCCAGTTTAAACCATTCTAAACAAGTATTGTCTAACCTATTCTCGGTATCTGTGCAAACAACTCCCTTGCACAACCACCAGGCACAATTTGGGCTAAGCGCGGTAGTCCATTAGTCCAATCTTTTGTCAATGGCAGTGCCCAGTGCCCACTAACAACTGAAGCAGCAGTAAATTATCCTTAAATGGCAACTGTGGAATACTGTGACTATATTCTACCCTTGCAGTTGAAGTGAAGTGAAATAGAGCATTTTGGGCACGTCTACATGAGATGCTATGTCACTGTAGTGACGAGCTACAGCAACATAGCTTGTCACTATGGCAATGTAGCGCCAGCAGGCACGAACCATGATGCTGCCACTACTGTGACTTGTGTGGCACCGGGACTGCGCAGTACCAGTAGTTACCTGTGCAGTCATTTAGTACTTGGTAAGGCATCACTTGGAGACTAGAACAAAAAGGATGCGTCTACATGTGTGCCCGACTGCACAGCTGTTACTGTGCAGTCGGACACAGATGTAGACAGGCCCTTTTTCTTCTAGTCTCCAAGTAATACTGTATGGAACTCTCTAGAGGTCATCTCTATAAGTTCAGACAGCTACTGTACGTTGAAATTGGCAGCCAGCATGGTGAAAAACATAATAAAGACTTTTATAGTGAGGTAAACAAACAGAGATTCTAGTGAAACTTAGGCAATGGGTTAAAACGGTAACTTCACAACTCAAAGAACAGTGGAAATCCCAGATAGAAAGATCAGATGTTGAGCACAGGAAAGAAAGGAGAAGCTAGAACAAATATGATGGAACACAATCCTGAGCCAGTTCTCTCTCTTTTAGGATTCAAAATGAGGATCCACAGTTCTACTTAAATATTTGTCTGTATAATGAAGTGTAATGCAACTTTTTTGTAACAAGGGTGAAAAATCAGATTCAATGAGGTAGAATAATCAAATTTAGAATTTTGTTAAATTTTAGAATACTTGCAGTATTGTCCATCAAGTCAATATCAGATAGAGTTTAGCTTAGATCAGGAGTAGGCAACTCGGGCTCGGCACAGGTGCCAGAGTGTACCATGCGAAGGCATTTTGCTTGGCATGCATGCCTCGGGGCAAATGGTGGGGAAGGGGCCAGGGCTGTGCTGCCACAACAAGGGTTAGGCCCCTTGTGGCTTCCCCGCTGTCCACGCCTGGCATACCAACATCTTACAAGTTGAGGTTGCAGGTGTTTTTGGCACTCTGTGCAAAACATTGCCAACCCCTACTTAAGACACTGCTGTGTTCAAAACTTCTTGGAAAAAAATCATATACATTGGTAAAAAAAAAACCATACAGTGGTACTGACTGGAGAAACAATTTAGCGCTAGGCTTTGCACATAATCAAGTTAGGAACTCTATTATTGGGTTCTTGTTTTTAATACCTTGTAGATTTTTCATCTTGGAAAGTGCTCATTATTTAATGTTTGAGGAATAAATATAGCAGTGAAACACAGATGTTTTTCACATAATAAAAGCTTTGTTTGTAGATTCCCCAAAGAAGCATATTCCATACCACTAACTGGGGAAATTCATACTACTTATTATACACATACTAGTCAGAGACACTTTCCTGTTCTCTGTATTAACATCTCGGGTGGATCATGGCAACCATTCTTTCACCAGCAACATGCAATTTGTGTTCGATGCAAGTTTGTTTGGTTTTTTTTGTAGGGGAGGAGCATTCAGCCGACTGAAAAATTACTTTTCAGGCGACTGAAATTACACAGGGAGTTTTAGAATTGTGCAATGCAGTTTGTCTGAATTTGAATTCCCCTCTTTGTATGAAAAGCTTCACTAAAGAAAGACGTACTAAAATATGAGCAACTAATTGATCAGACTTTACAATCCCAATACTAAAGACGATTTCAAGACCAGAGCTGAACCAATCTCAATTACAATATCTTTTGTCTAAATAAAAAACGCCCACAAACTACTGAAAGTTACCAGGAAGCTCTCTCAACACAGTTTGAATGAGAAACCTGTTTATTTCTACAATAGCTTCTTAAGGGTGGAAAGAAACCATTTTCTTTATCTGGCAAGTTAATACAAATCTAAAAAAAACACCCACCTCCAGAGAAGTCAAGTCTAACCTAATCTTCTCAATGTACATTTGTGTCTCAGCATTAACATTCACTCAAACTCATTGCCCCTCTATGCATAGCTTTGTACCAGCTCTTCCATTAGAATTCTTATTCATTATTCATTTCCTCTCAGTTTGATATTTGGAACTCCCTGCCCTATGCAGAAATGATAGCCTTCTGCTCTGTGAACGTGAACTATGCACATCACCATCCCCAGCCAGCTTCATTACCTTCCATTTTTAGCTCAAAATTCAATACAAAAATAAATGCCCTGGTTGTTTTGCTCCAGTTGACCTCACTGACTTTGCCTCTTTTTACTCCCTCCACTCATCTAGCAATGGACATTTTTCTTTTTCTCCATGCAACCCATTGTGCCCATACCTCCTAACATGCTGACTGTATTATAAAAGGTACTGCTGTATTTATAGTCAGGTTCCTGTGAGCATGACACCAATTAGCTTACAGTCTATTACACTTCTACTTCATGTAATACCATGATATCACCCCTGAAAACAGCTGTACAAGAAACAGAGACCCACATCTTCCTGAAGGTCTGCAATACAGCATTTGCTTGTAGAGGGAACAGGAAAGTTGAAACAGAAGTAAAAACAGGCCAGCACTTTCACTGAGCAGAGGAAGGAAGAGATGGGCCCACATACGTGGCACTGTTGCTCTCCCAAGGACCACCATAAAAACAGAAGCATAACATTTAAGTTTTTTGAGTTGTTAACATTTCCTCCTAAAGGGTGTTCTGTCAAAAACTTGAACTGCTTGAAGTTCTGATTAAAAAGAAGAAAAATCAAATGCTTTGTGATATATCTTGAGCGAAAGATGCTTACAAAGTAAACAGGGGTTTAACAGGACGAAGGGTTTTTGAACCCGAAAGCTTGCTTAATAACTATTCTCCAACTATTTGGGTTGGTCTAATAAAAGGTATCAAATTCACTCAAGGAACCTTGTCTACAAAGTAAACATGCATTATTAACATGAGGGTAGAGAAGAGTATGATTTCCTACCGAGCAGCAAACGGATGAATATGCCCTTTTCTAGAGGAAAAAACCTACTGAGCCATGGAAATGGCAATAGTTTGCTAGGTATTACCCTGGACTACTCCATTGTCTAGTCCAAACTATTTCTTAATTTAATTGTATTTATAACACTAAATGGGATATCCTGCAGTAGTACATGTGGTACAAATCCTATTGTGAGGACAAGTGGACAGATATGCAACCTATATCATGCTGATCCCACCCAACTGAAAAGGTATGGAGATACGCAGCACACTTAATAATAAATCCATAGTAATATTTGCCACTAGAACTACTTTTAGAATGGTTTAAAATTAATTTACATTATGCTGAAACATTAAAAATTTACTTTTACCTACTCTTCTTCCTGGGAACCCCTCTATGTGAGAGTTCCTCTCCAAAGACCCCTACAGGGCTCAATGATCAGCTCACTGCTTTTTTTCCTGCATATGTTCTTCCTCTCAGTCATCTCCAACGTCTTTAAATGTCTTTCTCCTCACGCATGTGCACACACACACACTCTGCTTGCCCTGATGAAGTAAATGTACGGTTTCCTTGCAACCTTTCAACTAAATGTACAAACATGGAAAGCTTTGAGGATCCTCCATAATACAGATCCATTTTTTGGGCTTTCCTCTCAGACACCTTATTTATTCAGGACCTTGGTGTTGTCTTTGAACTTGAACTCTCCACCTCTTTCCAAGTCACCTGAAGCTGCATTCC